CTGCCCATCAGGTGTCTCAGGGAGTCAAAATCTGCTTTTTTGAAGTCCAAGGTGTATATTTTACTACTCTCTTTTCTTCCTTTGGTCAGGATCCTGAAATCTACCATCTCACGATCACTACTTCCCAGGTTGTCACCCACTTCTACTTCCTCTATTAGTTCCTCCCTGTTTGTGAGCAGAAGTCAAGCTGCGCATGGCCCCTGGTCAGATCCTTCAGCACTTGTGCCAAGAAGTTATCCCCAACATTCTCCAAAAACTTCCTGGATTGCCTGTGTACTGCCGTATTGGTTTCCCAACAGATGTCAGGGTGATTAAAGTCCCCCACGAGAACCAGGGCCTGCGATCCGGAAGCTTCTCTCAGTTGTCTGAAGAAAGCCTCATCTACCTCATCCACCTGATTTGGTGGCCTGTAGCAGACACTAACCACAACATCACTGCTGTTGTTTGCTCCTTTAAACTTAACGCATAGACTCTCTACAGGTTTTTCTCCCTCTTTATACTGGAGTTCAGAGCCATCATAGTGCTCTCTTACGTAAAGTGCAACTCCTTCTCATTTTCTCCCCTGCCTGTTCTTCCTGAACAGTCTATACCCTTCCATGACAGCGCTCCAGTCACGCGAGTCATCCCACGAAGTCTCTGTTATCCCAATTAAATCATATTTCTTGGACTGGGCCAGGGCCTCCAGTTCTTCCTGTTTGTTTCCCAGACTTCTCGCATTAGTGTACAAACACCTCAGATAACCAGTTGATCGCCCTATCTTCTCCATTCTTGTTCGTTCCTCTCTGCATTTGTTCCTGGTATCCGACTTTCCCACTCCCCTCAGGGTTTTGGTCACCGTCCCCCGACGAACCTAGTTTAAAGCCCTCCTCACTAGGTTTGCAAGCCTGCCCACGAAGATACTCCTTCCTCTCTTTGTTAGGTGGATCCCATCTCTTCTTAACAATCCTTGTGCCTGGAACAGAGTCACATGGTCAAAGAAACCAAAGCCCTCTTTACGACACAACCTGTGCAACCATGCATTTATGTCCTCAATTTGACGATCCCTGCACAGTCCTTTCCCTTCAACAGTGAGGATGGATGAGAACACCACTTGCGCTCCCAGTTCTTGGATCCTTCTTCTCTGAGCTACATAATCCTCAGTAACCCGCTCAAGGTCATTCTTGGCCGTATCGTTAGTTCCCATGTGGAGAAGCAGGAAGGGGTAGTGATCCAAAGGTTTGATCAGTTTGGTAAGCCTCTCAGTCACATCCCGAATGCAAGATTCCAGGTCCAGACGACAGATGGATGGCTCAGTCCCTCTTAGGAGGGAGTCCTCTTTTGGGGGTGGTGGCCGTGGAACCCCCATCCCTAGGACTATGCATTCCATGCCTTTCAGTAGATGGTGTTCCCTTCCGGTTTCTTCCTTGTGAGGTCCCTTCCAAAGTATTCAGCACTGCAGAGCCTGTGGAGAGAGCCTGAAAGTGATTACCTACATTTATAGCATTGGGGGATTCCCATGCTGGCCTTTTCCCCCTTCTAGAAGTTACATGCTGCCAGTTCTCTTCCTGGTCCCATACTGCCCTCTCCGGCTCTTCCGCCTGCTGTGCTTCAAGGATTAAATGCTGCATTCTATCGAGGAACTCTTCATCCTCTCTGATTGAGCATAGGGTCGACATTTGGGCCTCCAGTCCTCTAATTTTTTTCTTCCAAAATGGCGACCAGCTTGCACTTAGTGCAGATGAAATCCGTTCTTTCTTCCGGGAGGAAGACAAACATGGCACACTCCATGCAGGTAACAACAGCAGACCTATCACCATCCATCGCTGTTGTCCTGTTCGCAAGCTCCTTGGTCGCTCACCTCACACTTCTAGTTTGTGTGTGCCCATAAATGAAAGTGCATTCTGTATGGTTACCAGAGTTCTCTAGAATTGAAATGACTTTCTGGAAAAGCTCTGGTTCATCCTAGACTTTTTCAAATGAGTACTGACTACGACAAAAGGAGACAGAATCTGCTTATTGCATTGCTTAATCACAGAAGTGGTCTAAATAGCCATAGAAAGTCTGTGCTTATATGCACTGTCGGCCATACTCCACTCACAACATAGACAATCCCCATTTACATGACAAGAAGAACATGTTCCGGTCACTGCTGGGGAACAGAGATAGAGGTTTGACTGTGGGTTTTCCAATCCATTCTGATCTGATCCAATGGGACTTTGCAAACACCATTCCATAGAATAAAACTTGATGTGGTGATTTTCTCTCCATTCAGTGTGTGAAGAGGCTCCATGTGGAAGAGAAGACATGCAGCTCTGCTGTAAGAGAAGCACCAAACTGGGCTTCTCAGAGGTAATTGTGGACAGCATGGAGCCCTTTCAGACTCAAGGAAAGGGGATATTGAGCTGAAATTTTTGACCGTGAGCCTTAAGTTCTTCTAAATAGGTATTATGGCCTCTAATTAGGAAATTGATTTCTCAGTCACACTTTTCATACTGTATTTGTATAGTACAAGGAAAACTCTGCATTTTATCATATATATCCATATCACTGCATAGCATTATCTGTGCAATGACCCTTGATTGTTACTTTAATAATAGGCTATGCTATACAATTGAGTGAATCTTTCTAGTAGAAGGTAAAATAATGTAATTGTCCTCAAATGGCCCCTCATTTTTGAACATTTGATGTATTCTCTCTCTGAATACTAAGTAACATATTTCAGAAGCACCCCAGTATACCTCACCCCTTGTTTATTATAATAATAAAGGATGCAAAATCCCATTTCATTGGCTAACCAGTTAAACACATTATTTAACTGGTTAACTGATTAAAGAGGGGTGGGCAATAGGGGATTCTAGCAGTGCCTCTGCCTGCTCTTGGGCTAGAACACTCCCCGCACCCAGCTTGCTGCAGACAGGGGCTGCTCCAACCTGCTTAGAGTAACCCCTGCCAGTGGGGCGCCCAGGATCGCTGCAGACAGAGGCTGCTCTGGCCAAGATGCTTGAACAGCTCCTGCATGTGGCGGGCCAGGGTACCCTAAAGGTAGAGGCTATGCTGGTGCAGCCTGTCTGTGGCTGCTCCAGTCCTGCTGGTTAACTGGTTAAATCAGGGGTCGGCAACCCCAAGCATGCATGCTACTTGATTTTGAGTGGCACGCTCAGCCTCACCTACTGCCAGCACCCTTCCCTTTCCCCTTCCCCTTCCCCGGCAGCAGGTTAGCTGCGTGCACAGTGGCTGTGAGCTTGGAGACGCCTCTGAGCCAGCTATGGTGCACGCAGCCTAACCTGCTGCTGGGAAAGGGGAAGGGCGCTGGCAGCAGGTTAGGCTGTGTGCACAGTGGCTCTGTGCTTCAAGGTGCCCCTGAGCCGGCTATGATGTGCACTGCTGCTGGTGAGTCCCTGCCATCCCCTGCCCCACCACTGAGTGCTGCAAGGCCCTGCCCCCCAGGACTGTCTCTGCTGTGTGGGGTCCCAGATCCGGCCACACCACCTCCTCCTCCTTCAGGCCACCACTGCTGTGGGGACCTCCGCGCCTTGGAGATGCTGACAAGTGGAGCAAGCAGCATGGAGCTGAACAGCTTGTAGCTGGCCAAGCTGCTGCAGCCCAGTCGGGGGCCTCTGCCTGTACCAGGAGGACATGCTGGCCCGCACCATTGGGAGCTGGCCAAGAGCCTGGTGCTCAGCCTGCACCAGAAGGTGCTGCGCCTGCTGTCCTAGCCCGCTGACAGCCCCAAGGGACTGGGCAAGGTGCTGTGCAACCCCTGCTTGGCTGCCTCTTGTTGCCAGTGGCTTTTCCTTCACCTGCCTGCCACGCGGCGCAAAAACAAGTGAGTGCCCCCCCTCTTCCTCATGCTCAGACCTCCACTCCATCACTTATACTCCCCCCTTCCAGCCAGGCAGTCTGGCTGCTCCTGTCCCTAGCCAGCTCCTGCCCCTTCCTTTGCTTCTGCCCCCTCCCCCTAGTCAGACACCCTACTCCCAGTCTATTTCTGCACCCTACCTCCCATCCAGACCTCGCACCCTCACCCCCTCCTATACTCCACCTCCTGCCCAGATCCTGCACCCTCCCCATCTCTATCCTACTCACTGGCAACCCTGTTCCACACACTGAACCCACATTTTCCCCACCCCAGAGCTTAAGGGGGTTCACAAAATCCCCTAGAACCCCAGAAAAGTAATTTTGGCCTATGGGAAGCCCCAAACTTCAGTCCTCTCTGTCCCTTCCCCTCACTCCATGGGGCAGGAGCACCAGAGGAGTGAGGTGTCTCGTTGGGGGGGCCACATCAGTGAGGGTTGGAGGTTTTTTGCTTCTCACTTGTGTGGTCCCCAGCTGATTTCTTTCTGTGAGTCAGTGACCCCCGACCCAAGAAAGCTTCCCCACCCCTGCCATAAATAAAGAAAACGTTGAAACTTTTAGTGTTGGACAGAATATTTTACTTTATTTAAAATGAAGTTTGATAAATTAACATGAGACAGTTAAAATGTTTAATCTGTTTCATAATTTAAATTAAACCGTTCTCCCTAGCTGCAGCTGGTTCAGAAAATAAGGTCACTGTACTCCCCTACCCCCTCCATCCCCCAGCACACAAAGCCATGAATAAGTTAAATCTTGGTATGCCACTTCTGAAAGGTTGCTGACCCCTTCACTAAAAGGTAAGATCTGCATCTTAATTTATTTATTAATGAACCTGCTGTAAGTAGAACTATTATTGACTTTAAAAAGTATCACAGGCACGCTGACCAGTACATAGAGGTGAATAAGTCAAATCTTAGCACTCCACTTGTGAAAGGTTGCTGGCCCCGGGTTAAACCTTAACATCCCTCATATTAATCTAGATAGCTGAGATAAATTAATCCCCATTGAAGGGGGTGCATATGTAAAACAATAACGCTGTTTGTACAGATTGAACCTCCCTGGTCTGGCATCCTCAGGATCTGATTGGCCTGATTTTCCTCCTGCTGTCACACTTCTCCCACCAACCTGGGGCTCTGCTGCACGGTGGGGGCTCTGTTTTCCCTTGGTGGTGGCTGGGAAGTTCCACTCTTCCAGCCCCATAGTCTGGCAATGCTCCTGACCCCAGTCTGCCTGTTTGTCCCCTTGAGTGCTCCCACGGGGTCACCGACAATGAAGTCCAGGGAAATCCAGAATGGGGAAGCTCAACCTGTGAATTCTAATACTGCTACTGGGCTTTAATCTGTATCAGTGTTATATAAAAAAAATGCAAGGTAAAAAATACCCTAACGACAATATTGAAACATCAGTGATGTAAAAATGCATGACTAACAAAATAAACATTAATTGATCTACAGCTTCAACTATTTCTTTATGTAGGAGCATTAACATGTCAGTCCTTTTACCCTCACGTTAGAGGTTTGAAATTGTTGATAGCAAGCACACAGTCAGACACGTACATTGACTTACCTACCTTCTCTCTGGCAGGGACAACTGTGTCTTGCTAGGCTAGATACAGCCCTTCACTTTACTCACTTGAGAAGAGGGTAAACTTTGCTCCCAGAAAATGATTTTCAGAGATTCTAGAATCTACAGTTTTAGTTTCCTTAACAGCATATGACCCACATAATGGTTCATGGCATCTGTACACTCAGCTACACATTTTGTACCCCATTTTTGCTCTCCAACTCCCCCACTTTTCCCTCATCAGTACCTACTCCTAAGAGCTGGAATCCTTCTCATTCTACCAGCACACCATGCCTCAGCTCCTCTGATACCCCACCACCAACCTTTTGTTCTTTGTCCTGGCAGCACCTGCATATGTACTTGGTCATGTCTCACTACTTATCCTCTAGCTTCCTCAGGCTTGGCTTCTTGCTGTGTAAACCTCCTTCCCTTTAGTCTTCATTTCTGACCTCTCAGTTTACTGTGTCTTATTCTAGCAGTGCTTTCTCTGTTTGCCTGCAGGAAGAGGGCTGTTCAACTTCAGGATTTTCGCTGCATTGCTGTGCTGGGACGAGGGCACTTTGGGAAGGTAGATTGGGAATAAGGGGTTTCCTCGGAGGGGGCGAGTGCAAAGCTAGGTCCCTCTTTTTTTTCACCTATGTGTGTCATAGTTTGAGTGGAAATGTTTCAAAAGGGGAAGAGATTCCTTTCACTGTAAATGGAAAATTCACCTTCTGCCCCACAATGAAACAGCTGATATTCCTGTTAATAAGAGGGTATTTTGGGTGTTTAGGGATTCTAAGGCTGGAGAGAACCTTTAAGGGCTGATAATCCTCCATCTGTCTTCTTTCCACATGCCCCATGTAGTTCATATGCCTTTAACTCAGGGATGGGCAATAATTTTTGCAGGGGGGCCACTTCATGAATTCTGGGTAGCGGCCGTGGGCCAGCTCCATCCCTAGAAAGGGCAGGGCCTCGGATGGAAGGGGCTGTTCCATCTAGGAGACACATGCCCCAGGTGGGGAAGGAGACTTCATGCACACCCCTGCCCCCAAGCCAATAAAGGCCTGGGGCGGAGGAGCGTGCAAAGTCTCTTGCTCCCTGTTCCCATCCTTCTGGGGCACATGGGACATACAGGGAACCACCAGCCATTTTGAACAGCTGGCAGTTCCCTCTAGGTGCTGCATACCCCTGGTGGAGGGAGGAGACTTTGCATGCTTTCCCCACCCCCTGGGCCAACTGGGACCTTGTGTCATCCATAGAGGTGACTAGAGAACAGCATTAGATCAGGGGTCGGCAATCTTTTCAAACCAAAGAGCCAAACTACATTAAAATTCAGAACAAATGGTCAATGAAGAGACATATAAGAATGCCCATTCGCATGACTGAAAATATACAACATATTATTATTGATAAATGACATGATGATTAATAATAGCATAAATGAAACATTAAACGTTGACTGTGCCACTTAAGTACTTTTGTGGATCTAGTTCTGTCTCCACTTGTTTCTGTTGGGTACCTACAATATTTTAATGCAGTCAAAATAATCTCTCTATATAGAAAAGTTTTTTCTGCTGGGCAGCAAAATGACATCATGCCCTCTGGCCACAAAAGTGGCCAGAGAGAAGGGGGTTGGCAAGTGTAGCAAGCATAGGGCACAGCTTACTAGTAATAATAATAATAGAAGTTGAAGTGAAATACAAGACCATCCCACCAAGGAGCCTGAGCACTTACCTGCCAGGGGCTCTCTGCAGTGGCTCCCCCCAGCAACTTGAGGAGGTAGGAGCATAGAGGCTGGAGTTATCTGGCCTCTCCCCAGGCCTAGAGTTGGGGGCAGGGCCTTGTGATACACCCCAACCCTGGTCCCAGGAGCAGCCACACCACAGCCTGGCTTCAGCTCTGATAGCTGCCCACCATGTGGCCCACTCCCGGAGCAGCCTGGCAATCACCACACGGCCTGGCCCCCCACTCTCCCATCAAGCCCACCACCACCAGCAGCTTACTTTCCATGTCCAAGGAAGGTGAGTGCTTCTGCGCGAGGAGGTGGATGGGATTACAGTTTTTTGTGCACAGCTGGCGTGCACCCTAGAGGGAATTCCTATAGGGAGAGTCACTGGGGGAAGCCACTGCAGAGAGCCCCTGGCAGATAAGTGCTCAGGCTCCTTGGTGGGATGGTCTCGTATTTCACTTCAACTTCTATTATTATTATTATTTTATTACTATTAAGCTGTGCTACCAAAAGAGCCGTAGTAGGTTCGAATCATAAGCCATAGGTTGCCGACCCCTGCAAAAGATGCTCTTCCCCTCCAAAGACTGAGCTCACAACTCCTGCATAGTTGGATCACTGATCTGCTATAAGATCCTAGGACCAGCTTTGACACCCCAGATTTTAAAAATAACATAATTTAAAATGATCATTTGGAGCTATTCACTGCTGCACATGCAGGATAATAATAAAAGCACCTCCAAGTTACTTAGCCTTAGCTTTGACATGACTCTCTGGAATGAACTGCAGTAGTTTGTTGTGAGTGCCTGCTGGCTGTGTGGGTAGGAATCCAAGTAACAAGATGAGAAACTCTCAGAGTAACTGGGAATGCTGGATTATTGACTACTTATTGTCTTTCAGGTGCTGCTAGGTCAATATAAGGCAACAGGGAAGTTGTATGCTATCAAAGCCATAAAGAAACAAGACATTGTTAGCCAAGATGAAATTGATAGGTAAGTCTCCTTTTCATCAGAGACTGTGAGATCATGTCTCTAATCATGCCAGTCTCAGTACTAATATAGTGGATCCCTCTTAAACATCAGAACAGGCAAAAATAAAGACTTGGAAAAAGCTTATAATGGTGTTGTTCCCAGCATCTAGCAAAATAAAACACATCTGGAGAAAACAGACTAAAACTGGAGTTTGGGGACAACACAAAATAAGTATTATCTCTATTTTTTTTCTGTAACTAAGTATAAAGATATCCTCCTAAGTACTTCTAGCACCAAATATATGTGTCTCTGAAGAGCTTTAGCCCTGACATTTTCATTCTTTAAATCCTGACAGCTTGTACTGCGAGAAGCGAATATTTGAAGTGATCAATTCTTCTAGCCACCCATTCGTGGTGAACATGTTTGCATGTTTCCAGACACCAGATCACGCATGTTTTGTGATGGAATATGTCCCTGGTGGTGATCTCATGATGCACATTCATTCTGATGTCTTTCCAGAACATGTGGTGCAGTGAGTTACCTTGGTTTAGGTTTCAAAGTACTTAGATGTTTGACCTGATTTCAAGTCTCTGTAGTGAAAACTCTTCCTCTTTCTCAGGTTCTACACGGCCTGCGTAGTGCTGGGACTCCAGTTCTTACATGAGAACAAAATTATTTACAGGTAACATAACATTAACAGTAAAGTGTAAAAGAAACCTAGCAACCCAAATCTTAAATTGCTCATTTAGCCACATGTGCAGTTTGCATCTTGCTGCAGTGACGGGTTTTCTTTAGTACTCTATCCAGCTAGCCAGCTCACAGACATGTCATGTTTTCCTTCCACTACTCCAGCCATCACATTCAAGAGTTTCACAGGATCCTTTCCACAGTTGACTGGAATGAGCTGGCAGAAATAGAACACATCCAAACCTGTGTCCATATTAGAGAGGTAATAGTATAGTCAATTAACCAATTAACTGATAAGCAAAAGCTTATCACTTAATGCTATAGACTAGGGATGTAACAGTATTGTCGGTTAACCGATTAACTCAAGGGAGGCCAACCCATTAAAGGCAAAGAGCCACAATAGTTGGGGATATAGCGCAAAGAGACAGGGGGGAAAAGTTGTTGAGCAAAAAAAAAAAAAAATCCCGTCAGCCAGTGCCATCTTGCTGGCGCCATTTTGCTTTGCCATGTTGGATGGTGAACACAGGGAAACGGGGGCCAGAGGCCATTTTTAGGGGTGCAGGGGCGGCACTTGAAGGGGGGAAGAGCCGCATGTGGCTCACAATCCACAGGGTGGCCAGCCCTGGATTAACTGATCAGCAAGAGCTTATAAATTTATGCTATAGACTACATGCATTTCCCCTTCACCCTTTACCAGTACATTTTTTAGCTGTTACCCAGGGTTCTTTCAACCCAAACCTCTCAGTAACTTTTACTCTCTGCGAGGAGGTGTCAGGAGATAATTCAGGGGAGACACGGTCGTCCAACCGATAGATGGATGGTATAAACAGGACAACACAAGAGTGCTATCACTTAAAGCTAAACTTTATTTAGTCTTAAGCACTTACTAGCCTGTTGTGGACGTGTGTAAAACATCCCCACCCTCAATAATTACCGAAGTTTAGTGTGGCTCTCAAGTGACCCAGGCAGGCTTCCGATGGCCAGTCTTCTGTCTGCCAGTGGGAATGAAGATGCGTCCAGGTGAAGAGTCCTCGAGGTGTCCCTCCAAGTGTTCCCCAAAATTGTCCCTCTAACTCAAACTTTCCTTCCCTATTTATGCATTAGTATTACAATAACATGTCACTCAAAAACTTGTTAGGTAAGCACTTTTTAAAGGTTAGGCAAGAGGTTTTCTTCTTTTTCTAACCTTTTTATTTCAGAAGGTTGAACAAGCTACCGGGGGGAAGCTGTTCTAACAAATAGGGAGGAACTGGTTGAGAATTTGAAAATGGAAGGCAGCTTGGGTGAAAGTGATCATGAAATCATAGAGTTCACAATTCTAAGGAAGGGTAGAAGGGAGAACAGCAAAACAGAGACAATGGATTTCAGGAAGGTGGATTTTGGTAAGCTCAGAGAGCTGATAGGTTAGGTCCCATGGAAATCAAGATTGAGGGGTAAAACAACTGAGGAGAGTTGGCAGTTTTTCAAAGAGACATTTTAAGGGCCCAAAAGGAAGCTATTCCGCTGCATTGGAAAGATAAAAAATATGGCAAAAGATCGCCTTGGCTTAACCACAAGATCTTGCATGATCTAAAAATAAAAAAGGAGTCATATAAAAAATGGAAAGTAGGACAAATTACAAAGGATGAATATAGGCAAACAACACAGGAATGCAGGGGCAAGATTAGAAAGGAATAAAGGGAAACAAGAAGATTTTTTATAAATACATTAGAAGCAAGAGGAAGACCAAGGAGAGGGTAGGCCCACTGGTCAGTGAGGAGGGAGAAACAGTAACAGGAAACTTGGAAATGGCAGAGATGCTCAATGACTTCTTTGTTTTGGTCTTCACCGAGAAGTCTGTAGGAATGCCTAACATAGTGAATGCTAGTGGGAAGGGGGTAGTTTTAGAAGGTAAAATTAAAAAAAGAACAAGTTAAAAATCACCTAGAAAAGTTAGATGCCTGCAAGTCACCAGGGCCTGATGAAATGTATCCTAGAATACTCAAGGGCTGTGTCTACATTGGTACCCTTTTCCGGAAAAGGGATGCTAATGAGACACTTCGGAATTGCAAATGCCGTGGGGGATTTAAATATCCCCCGCAGCATTTGCAGGAACATGGCTGCCGCTTTTTTCCGGCTCGGGGCTTTGCCGGAGAAAAGCACCAGTCTAGACGGGATCTTTCAGAAAAATAAAGCCTTTTCTGGAACATCCCTTATTCCTTAATTTAAGAGGAATAAGGGATGTTCT